ATCATCATAATATACTGAATCTGAATATAAACGAGCCAAAGACAATTTCAAGGTAAAAGGTTATTTATTAAAACTACGTTGTGCAGTTTAAGTTATAACTATATTATGAGAAGCATATTGGTGTCATATCAATATAAAATTTATCGAACAACAGTCCGTGAAAGCTGTCTGTAGACTGTAGTGTACTCAGTGTGAAATATGATATTGTATTCGTATAAATGCCTCTTAATGGCGCAATAAGGATAAAAACAGTACCATCGTTCGATTCAGCGTAAGAAATTGTACTTACGGATGTCAAATGTATTACTCAACATCAGTATTCTAGCGATTTATGACCTTTGAAAATCAAGCCAAATTGTATTGTTGACATCAAATCACTCGCAGTATGTTTGGCCATAGTTTTAACTATGGTTTGTCCTTGTATTTGTATTTGTATTGCCTAATTAATGGCGCAATAAGAATAAAAATACCACCGTTGGATTCAGCGTAAGGAACTGTACTTACGGATGAGAAATTGTACCTATACGGATGTCAAATGTATTACTAAACAACTGACAACAGTATTCTAGCAATTTATGGCCTTTGACATTGTCTTTGAAAGCCAAGCGAAATTGTATTATTTGTTGACAAATCGCTCAAATTATAAAGATGCAGTACATTTGATCCTAGATAACTTTGGTATCATTGCCATTGGTTTTCTCTTTTTCGGCCGTACACCAGTGGATTCGTCTCACTTCTCTCTTCATTTTGATAATATTTTCAAATCAAGAAATAAAAAATTGGAATCTCATAATATTACAATAAAAATAAGAAATGAATTGATTCAAAAGGTCTCTTATACAAAATTTTTGGGTGTACTAATTGATGAAAATTTAACGTGGAAAAATCATATTGATTCTATATGTAAAACTATTGTCAAGTTTACTGGACTAATTTCAAAAGTGCGACATTTTACGAACTTGAACACTATAAAGTTGACCTATTATGCTTTAATTTATCCATACCTTACATATGGTAATTTAGCTTGGGGTAATACATACCCTTCGAAAATTGAAAAGCTTTTCTGAATTCAAAAAAAGATTATTCGATTAATGAAATTTAAATCATACACAGAACATACAAAACCGCTATTTAATGATTTGAAAATATTAAATATTTTCAAAATTAACGATTAGCTTACCAACTTATTTATGTACCGTTGCAACTGTACTAATGATTTACCCGACATTTTTAATGGATACTTCATAAAAAAATTAAACATTCATGAACATTGCACGCGAAATTCAAAAAAATTGCATAAAGTTTATACAAGAACAAACTATAGAAAACAATCTGTTGTTAGTAAAGGCATTGACATTTGGAATAATTTAAGTACTGAGTTAAAAAATATTGGATCTTATATGGTTTTCAAAAAAAAATGTGAAAACATACTTTATCACACCAATCAGCTAATTAATCATCCTATTTTAATGTATAAAGTTTAAAAAATCTGAAAAATCTTGTAAATAGACTAACTTTCCTTTAAAAACTCTCACAATTGTATATATTTTCTTTATTATATTATGTACTATTTTTATGACATGAAATTATACTAAGTAAAAAAAGTTTTGTTATAACTAGGGATCTTAAAATAAAAGCCCGAAAGGGTTTCTGAAAGATCTCTAGCCCTACGTATAGATTATAAAAATGTAAATAGTTAAATTTTATTGTACTTTGGAAAATTGGGCGAAATAAATTAATACTAATAATAATAATAATTCAGTACTATAATTTCTTGTTGTTTACTGGCTGCCGAATTTTTGGCCGCGTAATAGGTCTGGGACCTAAATTGAAAGCTGTGGACACTTTGCTATCCCATGAGTGGCACTACTGTTCATCCCTATACTGTGATGGCAACACTTTAGCGCGAGCCTGCGTCCAGTGTTGGTCATGTCTGAATACTTCAATGGCAAATATTGGCGAGGGGTTACTGCATGCATGTATTTCTAGTAATATAGTCTAATAGCCATTAACTGAAGCAATAATTAATTACCCTCTGTTACAATCTTGACAATGTGTTCGGCCAAAAACCTCTTGGCCTTGAAAATTTGAAATACTTTTGTTTTACAACTCGAAGACGAAGTGAAAGAAATGGTTTTAGAACCGGTATATCTCACAGAAAAGCTCAGATATATTATACAGATGTTTGGTAGTATATAGTAAGTGCTTGTTGACTGCAAATTCATTTGTCTTTCGTTGCAAACTTTTCTGAACAATTTATATTCTCACTGAACATGTTTTTTTCGCTGTTGTTTCGCGGTATTAAATTTAATTTTTTAAAAAACTTGTATTTAAACTAATTTCTATGAATTAAATGTATATGCTAACCTGTCAAATTTTTTTGAGAGCTTTTCCTGGTACTATTATCTTTCTCAAAGCGAATATTTTCCTTTTTTCTGCTTCGCAAAACTGCATGTAGTTTTTGGACCGCCATCTTGTTTTTTGCTACTAGTCGCCGTATATGAGCTGATATACGGCGAGTAATTCAACCAATCAGATTGCAGAACAACTCATACGGTGAATCACCATATGTATAGGGAATAATACATGGTGCGCGGAAATAGCACTATATAAAGCACTATAGTTTACTGTATATAATAAAGTATATAATTATGTTGTTATTAACTGATCTTAAAAGTATACCGTAAACCTCCAACTATAAGGCCTGGGCTTATATACTTTCGTAAGCGATTTTTGATGGGCTTATAACAAGGGGGGTTTATATACGGATGGGCTTATACATGGACGATCTTTGTGTTAGTAACAAAAAAGTCAGACATAAACAAGTCAGTCCATGTGGTTAATACTAAAACAAACATGGTTTGGAAAGCCGGCAGACTTCAAAGTGATTAACAATGGTTATACAATTTATGTTGGAAAGGACATGAAGGTGCACAATTCGTTTGTCTTAGGTTCATTAATATTTAAATATATGCCTGAATGACTGGACCCAAACGTTGCTATTGGATGATCGCTTCATTATACTGAAAACACAATACGTTCAGTAACCGTGAAAGTGCATCAATCCAAACAAAAACATAGAACAATGACTTTTATCTAGCTTCCAAACCATGCTTATTTTCTATTAACTATGGTCAGTCATAAACAGGGAAATAAACGTGTATTAAGCAGCGATTATTGGGCTTATATTAATTGGGGGACTTATATTCGGGGGGCTTATATTCGGGTGGGCTTATATTCGGCGGGGGGCGCTTATATTTGGAATGATCGGAGCGTTAGTACATGTGGTGGGTTTATACACGGGAGGCTTATATTCGGGGAGGCTTATAGTCGGAGGTTTACGGTAATTCCGCATTGAAGTAAGGACTACAAGATTTAAAAGGACATGTCACAATTCGACGTACATTATATTAATGTTCAAACATTGTTGTACCAGGACAAAATTCCATTCGCAATTACACGTTGCATGAAACAAATTTGGTAGAATTTGACTAAATTTTGATCTAGACAAAAATTTCATCACAGCTTGAAAGAGCATCACAAAATTAGTAATATTCCAAAGTTTCGTTGCGAAATGTTGTAAAGTGCGGATAATATAGCCTTGCGAAGTTTGCAATTTTCAGTCATTTTAGATTACAAAGGGGGAATTGACAGCCCCAAAGGGTATTGGACTGTGGTCAATTAGTTTTGCTAATTGTAGTCAATTACGTAAGTGGTCAATTAGTTTTGCTGTTTTGTTTTAAAATACATGCGTTTGTTTTTACGTAATGGACCGCCGGCCATTGCGGGAAAATAATGGACCGCTGAAAGTGCTTCTCAGCCAATCACAGTTCGCCATTTCACTGGAAGTGATGCTTGCCATATAATAAGTTAGAGTTATATAATAAACCGAGAAGGAGGTTTATAACTGATATATTGCCCCCGAGGACGCGCAGCGTCCGAGAGCAATATATCAGTTATAAACCGACTTTCGAGGTTTATAACTAACTTATATCACACTTGCGGAGGCTTTCCAACATATTTTGTCATTTTCAAAAATTTTTAATGAAAAATTCTCGCGTTTTGTCTACAAGTTTAATCTAATCATTTATTCAAGGTCTATAAGCTAGTTATAAACCTCGGACGAACAAAGAAAACCGACGCAAGTGTGATATAATATGTAATATTCACTTGTTACTAACAACTGCCAAGGTCGTCACTTCCTCTTTCTTCTCGCTCGCCTATTACACCTCTTTGGAAGGTTGACACCAAAACCTTTTTAAAATTTTTCGGATGTGTTGGATCATCCCAGCAAACAGGAACATTTGTTTTCGTACGTTCTGCGGAAAGCGACTTATTTGATGTTATATCACCCTGTTATATTACCTATATATATTGCTTTGCTTATGTGTGCTTATCCCCTGCACGCTTGTTACCTTATTACCCTGTTAGTTATTGCTTTGCGGCTTATGTGTGCATAATTCTCCGAGATTATAATATATGCATTGCATAAATTTTGCAATTATATGATCAACTTTTCACCGTTTTTACCTGTGCAACTGCTGCCTGTGCAACTTTTCCCCGAGCCAATGGCAATGTCAATGTCAACCGGCAATGGCAATGTCAACCAATGTCAACCTGCCTGTGCAATCTTTCCCCGAGCCAATGGCGCGGAGCCCCCCGGAGAAAGGAAAGCTTTAGCAAAGTCTAAAGTTCATCAACGATCGCGGGCGTGGGTAACCGTGCCTGCATGGGTGATTATCCTCACTGATTTCAAATATAGCGGACTGTCATGAATAGCGAACACTGATTGGTCCCGAATTTAAATGCTTGGTCACGAATTTGCATTATAACGACTGCACTTACGACAGCGAAATAGCAAACATTTCTTGCAAATGATGATTTCTTGCAAATATATTTCATTTTTGCAAGATTTTGTTTTCAAAAGCTTTTTGAGAAAAAAGGCGAAAGAATCTGCTAATTTTGTCAGCAAGGCGAGGATTTCTGCATGCATGTATTTTCTATAGTACACTTATTACGCAATTACGAGTAATAAGACAAAACCCCGCAATATACTGGTCTTATAGTGGGCATGCATGTTATACTTTTATTTAAATCTATGACTATGATGTACATGTAAATAGCTGTAAACACATTAAAACTTAAATTAAATGCAGTACATACATTCATCGTTATTGGTTCGTTCGTTCGTTTATTCGTGTTCATTCATTCAGAACAATAATCGGCCTCAATTGTCTGCAAGGTAGTAAGTCTCAATTTCGCTTGTATAAAAGTCCTTTTTTCCTCTTAGAAGTACTTTTGTCGTTATTGCATTGTACGTATAACCAGGAGGAGGTTTGCGGAATGTGCATTGTACGCAATGTACAATTCTTCGCCGTACTGGCCGAAAGCTGGACCAGTATATTTACTCTGATATATAGCCCAATACTCATAATTAGACGTGACTGGACATTTGAATGGTTCCAAGCCATCCTTGTTGCGAAGTGAAAACAAAAAGGCTGCAGAGCTTGGCGTCTGCTGTCCCGCAACCTTCCCTAAAGAATATAATAATTTCTCAAATCATTAATAATTCATGAGCAATTCAGCCAATGATAATCACCTATTTGATCACAAGATGCCATTTGGATAACCCGGTGAAACTTGATGAAAGTCACTAGTTTTTTTCATCAAATATCTTAAGAGGCTGTTTCCGTAAAAACCTCCAGGTCAATATGGGGCTCAAAAATAGATTTCTCTCATACTCTAGTATTTTGAAGATCTATCCTTGGGAACAACTAAAATCGATTTCATTTTACTCAAATTTCCTTTTAAATTATTTTTGGGGGCGATTGAAGTTCGATCGGCTGGTAACCAACTTGAACTCCGAATGAAGGCAAAATATCGACATATTTTCAGCGCTATTTTTTAAATCAAATTCATACCTAAATTTCAAAATTTTTGCTCAGAAATATAGAC